CAGTGTTGAAATACCCTTGGATGTTTAGAGTTCTTCTTCTTTTCTCTTTTCACTGAAGCTGTTTTTTTGTTGCTAATAGAGGACCTGCTTTAATAGCCTCACTTCCCAGTCTGATTTGCTATTTTTAATCTATGTGGTTTGGGAAATGAATTAACAAAGCTTGATGAGTAGAATAAGATAAGTTTATTCTTGGGCCAAGATTTAATTAATCATTTATTTTTAGTTCTTTTATTCTAATTTGTTATACATGACAGTAGAATTCATTTTGACACATAACACATAAATAGAGTATAATTTCTCATTCTTCTGGTTGTACATGCTATAGAATCACACTAGTCGTGTACTCATGTATATACATAGGGTAATAATGTCTGATTCATTCATTCCTCCCAGCCTCCACACCCCTCCTGTCTGTCTGATCCAAAGTACCTCTGTTTTTCCCTAGCCTTGCCCTCATTATGAATTAGCATCCGAATATCAGAGAAAACATTTGATCTTTGGTTTTTTGGGATCATTCTCCAGCTCCATTCATTTACTGGCAAATATCATAATTTCATTCTTCTTAAAGGCTGAGTAGTATTCCATTGTGTATATATACCACATTTTCTTTTCTTTTTTTTGACATCTTTTTCATTTTATTTTACTGTTTTTTAAAATTTATATATGACAGCAGAATGCATTACAATTCTTATTATACATATAGAGCACAATTTTTCATATCTCTCGTTGTATACAAAGTATAGTCACACCAATTTGTGTCTTCATACATGTACTTTGGATAATAATGATCATCGAGTTCCAGCATCATTTCTAACTACATGCCCCCTCCCTTCCCCTCAAACCCCTCTCCCCTATCTAGAGTTTGTCTATTCCTCCCATGCTCCCTCTCCCTATCCCATTATGAATCAGTCTCCTTATATCAAAGAAAACATTCAGCATTTGATTATTTGGGATTGGCTAACTTCACTTAGCATTATTTTCTCTAACTCCATCCATTTACCTGCAAATGCCATGATTTTATTCTCTTTTATTGATGAATAATATTCCATTGTGTATATATGCCACATTTTTTTTTTATCCATTCATCTATTGAAGGGCATTTAGGTTGGTTCCACAGTTTAGCTATTGTGAATTGTGCTGCTATAAACATTGATTGGCTGTGTCCCTGTAGTATGCTGTTTTTAATTCCTTTGGGTATAGATCAAGGAGAGGGATAGCTGGGTCAGATGGTGGTTCCATTCCCAATTTTCCAAGAAATCTCCATACTGCTTTCCATATTGGCTGCACCAATTTGCAGTTCCACCAGCAGTGTAGGGGTGTAATACCACATTTTCTTCATCAATTCATCTGTTGAATGACACCTAGATTGGATCCATAGTTTAACTATTGTGAGTTGAGCTGCTATATACATAGATGTGGCTGCATCACTGAAGTATGCTGATTTTAAGACCTTTGGGTATAAATCAAGGATTTGGATAATTGGGTCAAATGATGGTTCCATTCCAAGTTTTCTGAGGAATCTCCATACTGCTTTTCATAATGGTTGCACCAATTTGCAGTGCCACCAACAATGTATGAGAGTAAATTTCTCCTCACATCCTTGCCAATATATATTGTTACTTGTATTCTTGATAATTCCCATTCTGACTGGAGTGAGATGAAATCTCAGTGTGGTTTTAGTTTGCATTTCTGTAATTGCTAGAGGTGTTGAACCTTTTTTCATGTATTTGTTCACAGATTGTATTTCTTCTTCTGTGAAGTGTCAGTTCCTTAGTCCATTTACTGATTGGGTTATTTGGTTTTTTTTTTTTTTGCTGTTAAGTTTTTTGAGTTCTTGGAGATTAATGCTGTATCTGAGGTGCGTGTGATAAAATTTTCTCTCATTCTGTAGGCTCTCTCTTTGTTATTGATTCCTTTGCTGAAAAGAAGCTTTTTAGCTTGAATCCATCCCATTTATTGATTCTTGATTTTACTTCTTGGACTTTGGGAATCTTGCTAAGGAATTCAGATCCTAGGCTACTTTTCCTTCTATTAGGCAGGCGCAGGGTCTGTGTTCTAGTGCCTAAGTCTTTGATTCATTTTGAGTTGAGTTTCGGGCAAGGTGAGAGAGAGGGGTTAATTTCATTTTGTTAGATGTAGATTTCCAATTTTCCCAGCACCCATTTGTTGAATAGGCTGTTTTTTTCTCCATTGAATATTTTTTAGTGCCTTTGTCTAGTGTGAGATCAACTGCATTTGTGTGAGTTTGTCTCTGGGTCTTCTGTACATTGGTCTACTTGTCTGTTTTGGTGCTAATACCATGCCATTTTGTTACTATGGCTCTGTAGTATAGTTTAAGGTCTAGTATTGTGATGCCTCCTGTTTCACTCTTCTTGATAAGGATTGCTTCGGCTCTTATGGGTCTTTAATTTTTCCAAATGAATTTCACGATTGCTTTTTCTAATTCTATGAAGAATGTCATTAGGATTGTAATAGGAATTGCATTAAATCTATATAACTTTTTTGTTATTATGGCCATTTTGACAATATTAATTCTACCTATCCTTTTGTAGTATGGCCATTTTGACAATATTAATTCTATCTATCCAGGAGCATTGGGAGGTCTTTTCCTCTTGTAAGGTCTTCTTCAATTTCTTTAGTGTTCTGTAGTTTTTATTGTAGAGGTCTTTTACTTTATTTGGTCGATTGATTCCCAAATGAATTTTTTTTTTTAAGGCTGTTGTCAATAGGGTAGTTTCCCCAATTTCTCTTTTAGTAGATTCATCGCTGGTGTATAGGTACATGTTTGGTTTAAAGATGTTGATTTTTATATCCTGCTACTTTCCTGAATTCATTTATTAGTTCTAGAAGTTTTCTGGTGTGGAAGTCTTTTGATCTTCTAACTATAGAATCAAGTCATTAACAAATAGTAATAATTTGAGTTCTTCTTTTCCTATTCATATCCCTTTACTCTGGCTGCAGTTTCAAGGACAGTGTTGAATAGAAGCGGTGAAAGAGGGCATCCTTGTCTTGTTCCAGGTTTTAGAGGGAATGCTTTCAATTTTTCTCCATTTAGAATGATGTTGGCCTTGGGTTTAGCATATAGAGCTCTTAGAATGTTGAGGTATGTTCCTACTATCCCTAGTTGTTTTAGTGTTTTGAACATGAAGGGGTGTTGTATTTTGTCACATGCTTTTTCTGCATCTGTTGAGATGATATGATTCTTTTCCTTAAGTCTATTGATATGATGAATTATGTTTATTGATTTCTGTATGTTGAACCAACAGTGCATCCCTGGGATGAACCCCACTTGATATGGTGTAGTATCTTTTTAATAATGTTTTTGTTGATTGATCATTTTGAATATTGCTGCGACCCCTCGCCAGCAAGGAGGACACGACACAGGATTCTTCTTTCAGCAGTTTATTCAAGCCTTTAATTATGTGTCTCTGGAAGCTTCTCTTTACTACTACTACTACTACTACTGCTACTTCTACTTCTACCACTACTACCACTACTACTTCACCCGAGCGCCCCAGCCTTGATAAAGCACATCAAGCCCCAATGCACAACTGCCACGTAGACCTTTCTCATAGGGTGTTTTACAGCTACATGCCAACTCTCCCAAAACAAGGAGTTGTTTATCACAGGCCACGGCGCTTATCAGCGCCATCTTGTAATGGCGACCACGGTCTGCTGACAAGGCTCACCACAGAATATCAATGTCATGAGAGATTTCATTGTATGAATTGGCTCTTCAAAGACAATGCATATTTTCTGATTCTGAGCTATCAGGTGATTTTTTTGTTGTTGAATTTCACAAGAAATTGCCATTTTTCATTATAACACCTCCAATGCCATTTCCCTTGGATTAGAAAATAGGTGATAAAACATAACCAGAATAATAGGGTTATTACTATATTTAGAAAGTGTAAATTGCTTTTGCTCTCCTTCCCCCCACCAGGTATTTAGAGCAGGGGTAATAATGTATCTGATAGAATGTGTGTGGCATCTTAGCCTGTAGTACACTATACTCTAGGCTTATTCACGAAAGCACAAAATTGAAGAATGCAGTCTTATGAAAATGATCACTCAGTCTGTGGAATGATTAAATAGTCAGTAAAATTAATTACAATTAATAGGTTTGAAAGGTTTTGGTTTTACCTTCATTCACACAGATACATGTGATATGTCTCCATTTCACTAAATACTGTTCTTGTACAGTAGTATACCCTTATCACTGGTTTCAGTTATGTGCAGTCAGCTGTGGTCTGGATATATTAAATGGAAAATTCTGGAATTAATCTATACTTTTAAAATTATGTGTTGTTCTAAGTAGCATGGTTTTTAGAATCATCCATTCGTACAAGTGTTATCTACCCTGTATAAGATACCTGCCTCTTAGGCACCTAGTAGCTATCTCAGTTTTTAGATGAACTGTCAGAGTATCACAGTGTATATGTTCAAGTAATCCTGTTTTACCTAATAAAGGAACTAAAGCACTAGAGAAATTGATGCTGGCAATTGGAATATGCTAAAGGGAAATGGAATTGCTTCCTTTAAATGAAAAGGTGAGAATGTTCAATAAGATTTTTTGAGAGAAAGAGACCACGTTCACATAGCTTTTGTTAGAGTATACTGTTTTATGTTACTTTATTATTGTTGTTAACCTTTTACCATAACTCATCTAGAAACTATCATAGGTATGGTATGTATACATAGACAATAACAATTATTTGCAGTTGGGTAGTATCCTCAGTTTCATGCATCCACCACAGATCCTGGAGAGTATGCCTTGTGGGTATGGGAGTCCTCTTTTTTAAGAAGTTCAGACTGTTAGTACATAGTGAAATATTATGTAAAGTTCACTGTCAAACATATTTATATGAAAGTCTAATTAAATGATAATTAAGGTATAATTTTCTTCCTTTGTTCTGTCAATTTGCTTATTCAAATTAAGGAATTGATAGTTGGTTTTACATCTCTCAAAAATGTTTTAAAATTATTTTCTTTCTGCTTAGGAAGATGAAAATGTACCCACTGTTTCTGATCCACCAAGTCAGCATTTACGTGGGCATGGAACAGGCTTTTGCTTTGATTCCAGGTAAGTTTTTTCTTTTCTTTTGTAGAATTAATGGATTAAGACTAGTGGTTCTCAAAGTGTTGTTGGTCCTGGGAATTTGTTAGAAATGAAAGTTCCCAGTGTGTGGCCTACAGAATCAGGTGTATGGCTTAGCAATTCACTGCCCTCTGGATGATTCTGATATGTGCAATCCTTTGAGAAACAATATCATATTAACTTGGCTATTGAACCAAATGGGCATTGTTGAATTGTATTTGCCCTTATAGTTTTACAATAGACTTTTCCTATTAGTTAAAAGTGGAGGAATTTGCTGGGTGGGTGGCGCATGCCTATAATCCCAGTGGCTCAGGAGGCTGAGACAGGAAGACTGCGGGTTCAAAGCCAGCCTCAGCAACAGCAAGCACTAAGCAACTCAATATTACCCTGTCTCTAAATAAAATACAGAATAGGGCTAAGGATGTGGCTCAGTGGTTGAGTATCCCTGAGTTCAATTCCCAATACTACCACCTCCAAAGGAATTTTTGGCACTAAGCGTCACTTCACACATGCTAGTGGTTTTTAATGAAAAAGGTTTTGTTTATCTAATTATAGATTAAACTTAAAGGCCTTATAAATAGATACACAATTATCTATAGTCAGCATTGAGAAGCAGGAAAAAGGCTTCTGGAGTAACTAAAGGCTTTCAAGATACATTTTTCAATAGGAATGTCAGCTAACTTGATAAATGTAACATTGTCATGTACTGACCATTACTGCTGTCATAAATTTATTAGAAAATCTATAATTCTTCATTTTCCTTTCTTTAAGCTTCGATGTTCACAAGAAGTGTCCTCTTTGTGAACTAATGTTTCCTCCCAACTATGATCAGAGCAAATTTGAAGAACATGTTGAAAGCCACTGGAAGGTGTGCCCAATGTGCAGCGAGCAGTTCCCTCCCGACTATGACCAGCAGGGGTTTGAAAGGCATGTTCAGACCCATTTTGATCAGCATGTTCTAAACTTTGACTAGGTACTTTTTATTATGATTTAATACAATTTAGCAATTTAAAAAAAAGTCACTTCAAATAGACCACTAAGAAGACCACAAGGCACCACTTTCACGCATCCTCTACCATACTTTTCTGACAAAGAGCTACTTTGAGTTTGGTGTTGTTAGGGTCAGAGTTAGTCTTTGGCTTATCAATAAATATAATTTTAACCTAACTATTAATCTTACTTGCTTTAAGAAAAGAAGTTCTTGTGTGTTTATATCTTTATTTATTCTCATTTGCAAAATTGTATGAAAAAAGGATACAGGAATTATTTTAATGTTACTGCACTGAAAAAAAAATATATGTAATAGTGTGCTAGATTACTTAGCAGAATATTTACAAGTTTCTGTTGATCTTGTTGATTGAGCATGATTACTAAATATTATGTAATAAAAAACATTGATCATAACAGTTTTGCGAAGTTAATTCTTTGAATATATAAAGTCCATAATTTAGCTCGTGAAATAATAGTTCTAAAATTTTCTTTAGAAATGAAAGTTCAGGTAGAATGAGATCACATGCTTGCAAATACCCTTTTTATATATGAAATGTTGGCTTTAGGAATTAATAGAAGGCATATTTTGCTAATTTTATGACAAAATTTAGAATAACCAAATGACTATTTTTAAACTGCGTTGAATTTGTATTTATAACTAATAGGGAAAGGGAACAAGTCAGTAAAATTTGTTTTCATATTGAATGACCTCATAACAGTGTTTGTGGCATAAAAATCGGAATATGTCAGTATCTTTTTCACATTTTCCTGATGAGAATATAAATTTGAAATAACATTTTCAGTGATTAAAAATGTAAATGCATAAACCCAAATGAAAGTAATGTGTTTCTTTAGTTGTGTCTGCTATGCAGTCCCAATTAACATTAAAGAAGACACACATTTTCAAGGTCTGTAATTTCTTTGTCAAATTTATTTGCAGTAGTTTTTCACTAACCTAGCATTTTTGGGCACATTTTTTTTGGACTTTAAAAAACTTAGGAACTGTATTTCTTTCTCTTTATGTCAATGTTAAGAATTTAACATTTACTGTTTTGGGAGTTATCCAAATGTTGAGACTTACTTTGAGCAAACTGTTAATCTACTATTGACTTCTGGGGTGCTGTATGTGAACTGCATGCATATCATGTTGCTTGTATTTGTAGGAGAATCTGTATTGCAGGAATCCTTTGAAAAGATTTTTGAATCTAGGGCAGTATATTAGGCATTCAAATGTTTTAAAACATGACAGTCCTGAGAGGCAGCAGCATTGAAGACTCCATGTTTCAGCTTCCTGGTAAGTCGCAAAACAAGCAGAATATGCAGGTAAAATATATTTAACACTGTGAGCATTTTTTGTTGTAGCTAGCAGTTATGGTTTATGTTAATCTGAAAGTAGTACCTTTTGAATGTTACAGTGTTGTTATTAATGAAATGATACTATCTTATTAGCCTTTACTTTTAAATACTGGTTTTGGACCGAAGCTTAGAAAAGTAATGCAGTCACAGCAAAAATTTGAGAGAATAAACTGTGCACCCACAGAAGACTACAAAATAATAGATACGATAGAACAAGGCACTGATATGTTAGTTCCCATGGTAAGCTTAATACTTTTTTTTTTTTTCATAATAGAGGATGAAAATAAAGAGCCATCTTTGTTTTGGGTCAGAGGCAGTTTATTTTAATGTGATTTCATTTACATTTTTAAGCAGCTTTTCTTGACAGGAATTTTGATTAAGTTGCCTTCAGTTCTAAAACCTCTGTCACCTTCAAACAATGTGCTCTGTCCCCAGCAAAACATACGAAAATATAATTTAAAGCACAGTTTTCACAGACACGGTACAATACATTCACTATACACGGTATAACAAAATATTCCCATCCTTACCTGTTTAGTAATACTGCCACAATAAGTAAATAGAAATTGGAATTTGTTTTATCATTGAAAGAAATTTAACATGCACAATGACTATTTTATGACTGTTTAGCTGTTGAACTACTAGTAGATCCAGCCTGCAGTTTCTTGCACTAGAAGGAGCAAAGCTAAATAATAATTGCTGGCCTAATTTTTTTTTTTTTGGTCAACTGTAGGTAGATATGAAATAGCCAAGTAGGGCTGCTTTATGCACCAACTAGTTGATTCTCATATCTGGATCACCTTTTTAACATAGGATAACACTGTATTCAGGACCAAGACCACTCTTCGGAGATCCAAGGAAATTTTTAGTGGGTAGTATCTTTATAAATGTTTTTAAATCCCTCATTATGAGAGATTCACAGCTTGTGAATAAAGAACCTTACCCATCTGTTTAACAGAATTATCTTTCAAAATGTCAATGTCTGAAAAATTGAGGAGGGACCCCTGCTTCCCAGCCATGTGTAAGACTTTTCATCAAATGGAAAGAATGGGAAGAAAGTTATTTTATGAGGAATTTGAATTTGCTTTTCACCAGTTTGTATGTGGGTAGTTAGCTGTCTCGAAACAATTTTTATTGCATAATTAGGCAACTGGTAAACTCTTGGGTTTAAGGAATAGCACTTGGGAGAAAAGAACACTCAAGGCATGATGGTACTGTCGGTGAGAAAAACTTCAGTAATGGTCCAGATGTGGGTCACTCTGATGGGTCATATTAGTCACACTGTTCTTTGACCACCTGCTGCAAGAAGCACTTAATCATCAATAAGGCTCATTTTCATATTTCGGCAAAATGTTTTATAAAGCTAAACAGACATTTCCAATGATAATGCACACATCTACAATGTGATGGGAAAAGTGCCTTTAAAATAAGTCTCAAAACACAACATGAAAAGGAGGCAATAAGGGTCTTAACAAAAATGTTTCTCTTTGAAATGTGCTTAGAGTTTTAATTCTGATTTGCAACCCACAGGTTTCTTAGGGCTGTGGTTGCAAGAATTGGCAACACATAAACATTAAACTGTTGGCAATAGAGAACTACAAAGTGCTTTAAAACTTCATTGGAAGGTGAAGCTATAACTGAATTTCATATGCACAAAATTTGCACTTATTTCTTAACAGATTTCAGGGGGAAAGTACTTTACTAAACTGGTATCTTGGTCCGCAAATTAACAATTGGTATTTGAATCCCTTGCACCCAGCAGGCACTCAACAAATGTGTTAATGAGTGAACTGAATATTTTGTACAAAAATGCCATTTATAACACTAAAATGATAAGTCAGATGGCAAGATTTTCAGCTTTTTAAAGAGCAAAAGGATTTGTGAAATATAAAACACAGAAAGCACACCTTTTATGCATGTTATTTAAATATGAAAATATTTTTAGCATATTATGTTAAACATTCTTATTTATAATTCCATTACCTAAAGTCTTTCTACTCACAAATACTAACTCCATTATGTAAGGCATGGTAACCAGTGTGATAATGAAGGTATTATTTTGGTTTTGAACGTGAGTTGATGTGTTGAAAAACTTCAATCACATTACAATCTTGAAAAAACATCTCAGTGCCAGCCCCTCCTCCCCCCAATTGATATTACTGCAATACAACTAAACATACGCAACATGCCCTCAATTTTATTTTGTTTTGGGGGAAATGTGCTGAAGAACCTAGAGCTTTTTTTGTTTAGCACCTTATATCAAAGTAATGAAAATGGGTATGATGATTACATGTGCAAATGTACAAAATCATTAACTCTACAAAGATACGTCATTCCAAAATTACAGAAAAATTTAAAGCATGCATTTAATTCTTTTTCTTTAAAGGGTTGCTGAATGCTTCCCCTGAAAAAAAGGTGGCTGTTTTCAAAATCAGCAACTGCTGGTGAGGATTTCTTGGCACAGTTATGACCAGCATGTTATTGCTGCATCTTCCTGATAATCTCAGCCGACACCGGGGGGTGAAAATTGATTGTGTGGTGCCGCAGGCCCTGAGCGGTCTTGTAACTCTTTCCACACCGACATTTGAATGGTTTGCGGACACGAATCTGTGTTCTGTGACCATTCTTAGCGTGGTACTTTATGCCATTCACATTCTGTGGAGAAGACAAAATGTTACCTGTTAGATGAAGTCTCAGGTTTTACCCTTAGTATGGATCAAGATTGCAGTTAACACATCTGGGTGGCAGCTATTTATAGAGAGAAAGCTTTGCATGAACTCCAGTTGTGACCCTTCAAGGACAGCCTCGTGTATGGGCACCAGGTCACACACTTAAGGAGATACTCTGAATATATACTGAAGATATATACTCTTTCAGACTCAGACTACATATAAAAAAAGTTTTGAATAGGAACAGTTCCCTCTTCCTGGAACTTTGCTTCTCCCCGAATCACTTTTCTACTCTGACAGAGTTAACAATGGTCAGTCGTATAAAAATATACTAAGGATGACCAACAGATTGGGATAAATCTTAGAGACTTGTATGAGTTTCTGATTTGGAAACTCAGGAGTCTTGATTTCAGACAACGACGATAATAATTTCCTCTAACCTTACCTGGAATCTTTGTCCATTTTCTTTTTGTCTATTTTCTGCTCATAAGCTGGTGTCGCTGGTACCACTATGGCAGCATAGGTATATGTGATAACCAAGCACCCAGAGCAGATGAAGGCCCTACCTTTATTGATGTGTACTGCATTCCAAATAGAAAATGTGCTTTCAAAAGTTTAGGTTATTTATGTTAGTCTTGGCACTAAAATGTGACTGGATTTCTTATCATCTAGGTTCTTATTATCTAGATGTTAAGATTAACAATGCTTTCAGGATTTCTTCTAATTGGTTTGCTAGTTCACTAGCATATTCTATGTAAGATTCCATTTCTTGATTTACTCTTTACATGTTTAATGAACAGTTAATGAGGAAACAGGTTGCAGGCATTAAGGGGAAGATTTAAGAAAGAAATGTCAGAGGTGATATTTGCATATGTCTTAATTTCCAAGTCAGATTAGAGAATAAGGGAATAGAGAAGCAGCAGCTTGATAGTTGAGTTGCTAAGCACAGAAAACCAAGCATGAGCTATTTCCTAAAATACTACTTAAATACCAGTCCTGATGGGCCTGATCCCATGCCCAACAAGAAGATTCCAGCAGTCTTTCTACCCATTCATAGGATGTCCTTAATGAGCTCCCAGAAAGCAGGGATGACTCCTGCTACTATTTGATGAGTAACCAAGTTCCTGGCACTTAGTAAGTGCTAAGTGAATTTGTTAGAAAAGTGTTTCCCAGTGTGTATTCAGGAAGACGTTGAGAGGACTACTATTAAATATATGGGTTTGGGGTTGGGGTTGTGGCTCAGCAGTAGAGTACTCTTGCCTAGCACATGCGAGGCCCTGCGTTCAATGCTCAGCACCACATAAAAATAAATAAATATATGGTTTTGGTGGTTGTTACTATCACATTTCCTTCTTAGAGTTTTGTAAGCCCAACAATAGAGAACTCTGTTGGACTTGTTGAACCCAGAGGTGCCAAATAGCCACCACAGGACTGTCTTCAGAGTCTCAAGGTTGTCCAAAAAGCTAGATTAGAAGGACACCAGCCTCTGTCCAAACATGTGGCTTGGGCTGTCTGTACCTTCATCCCTTGTCCTCCCTGCATCCATCCTTTTTTACAGTGAGGAAGCACCTTTCCAGTCTTGTCCAAGAGCCATAATCAGACAGACTGACCTAACATGGTTAGATGTGTCCTGATGGCCCCAGCTGTTCTAGCCTCCTCCCCAGGTGAGGCACAGGCATGTGAATGAAGAAGCCAATTTGTGTAGCCAACTGGGTTAAGCCTTCAGATGAAGTTTTACTGCAACTTCAATAAGAACTACCTAGCCAGAGCAACCAATTTATAGTTCTCTGGGAGATAAATTCTTAAAG